TGAAAGAGGATATGCGTAGGAAGGGGGTAGAATCTGATATGACTGCTGATGTATGGAGGAGTAGTACATACTGTGCCGACCCTCGATAGGGATAAGGGGAGGTTGATGATTTCTAACTGTATCTTCTATATATATACTAGCGGACCCGACAGACGTTGTCCTGTCTACACGTCTTTAATTTGAATAAATTAATATGAAGTTAATATTTGATGAAAATTGTGAATCTAAACCATTCCCAGATCCCCTTGAACATACACAAAAAATTTCATCAAAATCGGTCCAGTCGTTTAAGAGAAGTTAAGTGACATACACACTCACAGAAGAATTATATATATAAAGATAAATCAATTGCTGTTCGTTAGTCTGGCTAAAACTCGAGAAAGGCTGAACGGATTCACCTTAATTTTGTCTTGAAATGTTCGTGGAGGTCTAGGGAAGGATTATAGGTTGAATCGAATAATTGCCGGGAACTAATTATTTTTATTTCATTCCACGCAGACGGAGTCGCGGGCGAGAACTAGTATTAAATAATGTTTCATAATAGATTTATTATTTTATAACAAATGAATCATTAATTTAAACATGTTTTATTTTTATACACATATTTTATTTAAAATACAAACCATAGTATGTTGTGATAAAAGGAATTTTACAGCCGAAGACCACACACAATTTAAATGGAATCATGGAATTGATTTACATTTACGTATGGTCGTTTGCATATGTAAATGTAGCTCATTTACTTTTACTGCTAAAGCGATGTGTTTGTATTTCGTATAATCTGGCACAAAACGTGATCTAACGATTACTGTAATCCTTTAAAACCCTTTAGGAATTGTCTTTCTTTTTTATAACTTCTACGTTACCAGTTTTTAGTTTATATTTCTGCTACAAATTGTAGTTTAAAATTTACAATTTAATGTAACATAAACTCATTTATTACAAGCTCTTGATAGAAGCTTAAATATAAGCTTAAAGGAAATTATTTTTCAACATTCTTACGGCGAGAGAAAGGAAATTACTTGCTCCTAAATTAATATTGGGTAAAATTTGTATTATTAGTTGAACATATCTTACTAATATTATAAGTGCGAATGTTTAGATGGATGGAGAAATGGATGGATGGATACGTGAATTAAGGGTGTTTTCAGAACGGCAGAACGGATCTCGATGAAATTTGGCATACATATAGATCATAGTCTGGAATAGCACGTATGCTACTAATTATGTTTTTTAATTCCGCGCGGACCGAGTCGCGGGATACAGCTAGTTTTAAATATTATAACAGTCGATCTATTCAAATAAATTATCTCCGTTAAAAGTAAACAAGAACTGCGAAAGAAAAATTACTTCACACTTTATCGTGGAAGTTAGAAACAAATTCAATAGCATGAAATCGATTCTAACAGAATCCGCAAACTGTTATCAAGATTCCGAACTTATGACACAAGTTATATAAAATCAAACTGCACACATCTTACCTAACTTTGTCGTTCCTATACTTTATATCTTTAGATAAGTTTGAAAAGGAAACTTTGACAACATTGCAAGTACTACATATTTAAAACGTAAGCTCTAACGCTTTTGACATGAAAGATGTTATTAGGACTGTTAAAAAAAACAAAGAGAATAACGTAAAACATTTTTGTTATCGACTATGAATATACTGAAGTAAAAAACATGTCAATAACTAGTACATTTACCTAAATTTAGTCGACATAAGTTAAATTTTTACGTTTCTTTGGTAAAAAAAGTAAGTACTAAAAATAAATACTTGTGAACATAAAACCATGTTCATATCGTATTGTTTACGACCACGTCCTCCGAGGGGACAATATACCACGCAATTAAATTGAAACAAATCCCCCGGGAGCGAAAACCTTCACGTTGGTTTTTACAATATGGCCGGTTGACTGGAATTAAACATGGCCGTCGTTACCTTTACAAAGTTAGATGATAAAATATTTTTGCTTTTTGCAATTGGCAAGGTAAACAATTCAAATGAAATTTAAATTCATAACATTTTTAGAAATTACTAGCTGTCGCCCGCGACTCCGTCTGCGCGGGATTAAAAGATACATAGTAGCCGATTCTCAGACCTACTCAATATGCTCACATAATTTCATGACAATCGGTCAAGCCGTTTCGGAGGAGTATGGGAACGAAAATTGTGACACGAGAATTTTATATATAAGATAATGGTCCAAAATTGACAGTCAGTAACGTCATACAAAACTCCACGGAAGTCCATCAAAAAGCGTGACGTCAATGATAAAGATTCACTCTACATCTTTAATCCTCAATATACAAAGGTATCTTTAATGTCTTACAAATATTGTTACACATATACTATGTATTTATATGTCAACTTACATCTGCTTCATTGAATATTTACGATCACCTTCGCACAAGCCGGAGAACCGCTATAAAAGGGAACATTACCGTGACGTAATCCACCGACTCAACTTATACAACTTGTAACTTGAGTTACGACATACACGGTAGCCGAGACGCTTTGACCTGACGTAAGTTGCACGATACATCCACTTAGAACTTAGAAGCTTACTTTTATATTGTTATCAACCCACAGTAGAATGTTTGATTAAAAATTTAGAAGTCTGATACATATTTGTAAAGAATTGCGGCGATTGTGGCATTTTAATTATTTAAATTAGCCGCGGACTGAGTCGCGGACGACAGCTAGTATACAAATAATTTTCCGACCATTTCCTAGCATTTTAAAGATCATTTTTAGAAGCCTTTAATTTTCACTTAAATGGTGCCGGAATGTTCTAATATTTATATCTAGCTGTCGCCCGCGACACCGTCCGCGCGGTAATAAGAAAACTTAATAAGTAGCCTATGTGTTCTTCCATACTATGTTTTAAATCTGTGCAAATTTTCATCAAGATCCGCTGTGGCGTTCCGGAGATCCCTTCAAAGAAACATCCATCCAACTAAGCATTCACAATAATGAGTAAAATATTTGAAATTCATATAAGTTTAAACATTCGCGTTTGAGTGTCGCATTGTAGAATATCGGGAAGTCAAACATTAGCTCACATATTTTCGACTGCCACAATTTCCTCGTCGAACTATACTTCAATGCATTTCTATTAAAATGTACACTTGGTATAGTCTTATTCAAGTGTTTCTTTTAAGGCTTCTTAAAATGTTGGCCGTGTTTAATACTGTTAGGTAAATTGCCTGCAGTTCTTATAATCTTAGCTTACTTTAAGCTAATCCACAGCTCTTACAAGTACTAGGAAAATAATAACAGCCAAGTTATATAACCGTATTGGACTTCATTACTAGGTGCCCCTTAATTTAGGGGAGGTGTAAGGGGGGCACCTAGAAGACATCACCCAGCACCTCCCAGATGCAAAAAGGATAGTAATCATTATTTTCATTGTCCTATTTTATTTGAAAAGTAATCGTAGGTTTCCATTGCTCATATACAAAACTCAAGAAACTGGTTTAGAATCAAAATAGAATTAAGAAATAAATCAAAGGGTTAGTGATAATAAATCTGAAAAATATAGTTTGAAAATTTTAATTTATTAGTAATAAAAGTCAAAGCAGAATATGGACCTTTATAATCACAGTAAATTAACAATTTCTACTTTTTACTTTAGATTGGTCGTTTTGAGCCTTGCTGAGTTATTCAAACATTTATTAGTAACCATTTTGTTATACACAATTATTTTGTTATTACTAGATGTAATTTAATAACCGATATTGATCATATTTAAGAAAAAAAGATGAAAATCGAAAAATTATTCAAAAAAAGTATCGGTCGATTGTTGTAAATATATTAGTGTGTGTGCACACACAAAGAAAATAACCTAAAAATAGTATTTCCTATTTTATTCACAAATAACAGATTGACATTTACTTATCTCTTCCCACTCACTTCATCCCGCTATGGCCTATCCATTTTCATTACTAAACGACTCGTAGTATTTTGTTTCTAAAGTATTCTGTTAGATTTTACAGATTAAAAAAAAAAAATAACCATCTTTGTATACAAAAAAATGTTTTTTTTTTACTCAAAGATGACATTTTATTATTGACATTATTAAGATATTATGTATTCCATGTTATTCTATTTTTTCTGGTAATAACAAAATAACCGGTGTATATTTGACAAATTTTGTCAATTTTTTTTTAATTTAAAAATCAAGAGATCGTCTTTATACGTTAGTAGAAATAACCATAGAGTAATAATTAAAACAAAATGCAAAGAAATTGGTAACAATTTACATCTTATTGGTAATTTAATATTGTAACATCAAATGATTTATTGTTCAGCCTATATTAATATACATTCACAATTTTTTTTTACATTTTATTGAATATGCAATAAACATTTTAGACATAACCTTTACATAGTTGAAGTTTTTTAAATTTCACTCCAATATTTTAATAGTTTTAATAATACTCCAAGAAATGTTATATTCATACATTTGAATACAATGAAGCCATGTTTACTAAAATAAGATATGTAAATTGTATATTACCCATAGCCATAACCTATTGAACATGTCACCAGTGTTACCCAATCTTTATGATGACAACCATAGAGCTCGGCGCAAAAGGAACACTGACCATAGACACCGGAGCCACGTTCCCACTATAACTTTATGAATGTGTATCATTGTCAAAAGTGAGCAACAGCCACCGGTGTTAAGGACCCATCACTTTTTAAAACTCGAGATATGTGTCCCGTAGCGAGTGGCCACTGGCCACAAGTATGGGCTGTGTTCTCACAAAATGTGTGAGAAATCGTATGAGCTGCTTGTTGCTGGCCACTGGTAGCTTTGGTTAGTGTCCCGTCTGCACCCAGCTTAAGTTAAAAATAAATATGGACAAAAAATGACATCTCAGTCTTCACAATCTATTAAGGACATAGCAATGGGACGGATATTTAATCATGTTTAAATATTTTCACCATAATTACACAAAAACTCACAAATTTTTACTGTTATTTTGTGATAATTATCACAAAATAACAGTAAAAATGAAAAAATGGCCAACCATTTTCTTACATATCCCAATTTAAGCTTTTAATTGAAATGAAAGATACAACCATAAGAAACAATTTACAAAGACTGGGAACAACTGGCACAATACATTTAGACAGACTTTACAAATATGATTATAACAGTTAACTTACAAATTAAACTTAACTCAAACTAAGTGAATTCACATTTGTGGCAGGAACTCAATAGGTGTGGCAAACTTGAAGTCTTCGGGGAACAGCTTAGCAGCAAATGGATACATTAACTTGTAAGATTGTCGAATGGTAACATCGGCCACACCCGCTATGTCACCAATTTCTTTTTGACTGCGCTTGTCATCTGACGCCTGGAAATAATACCATAACTCTTAAATAAATTATGAACTTTTATAAAACAAGAATCTAAGCAAGATTGATTAGCTGTGCATAGTCTATTAATATTTTTATAGATTTTAAATATTACAAGAGCTAAGTTCATATTTTTTTCATGATTTCAAAGAATTCTGTTACGAAATTATTTTAACCCTTATTGTGGCAAGATTTATTTTTTGAAGAAAAGCAAAAAAGAAAGTGATAAATTATTTTATAGCGGTTATATTTTTTTACAAAGGTGTATGTATGGTATACTATACATAATGAACATAAGGGTTAACAATAAATTGAATTGTTCACATCAGACAAAAGTAGGTTGATATATTAAATATTTTATAGAATATGCAACTTATAAAAAACAAGAACTAATAACATACTAAAAGTAGGTTAACATATTACTCAGCGACTTAGTAATACATATGAAAGTAGAACTATTTCATAACTCACCTGAGACGCCATATAAATAGCAGCCGCAGCAACAGATATTGGACTACGACCAGATACAATATCCAATTCTCCAGCTTTCCGAGCAATGTGTGTAGCGGCACGTTGCACTGAATTTGGTAGACCAAGGTTCGAACAGAACCGAGACATGAAATCTGCAGTTGTGATAAGCTCCACTGAAGTTTCAAGTGCTTTGAGAATAAGCTTAAAACACCTTCCAATTTCTCTTTTACTTATTTTGCTGACTGCACAAATTTCTTTGAATGTACGAGGCACACCTTCCTGTCTACACGCAATGTACAGACAAGCAGAGGCAATAGCATCATTAGCTCTGCCTTTTAAGTTTTTACCATCATGGACCTGTAAAATAAGAATGCAAAACATATTAATTTATACATTGAAAGAGTTCCAAAAGAATTTATTAAAAAGTGCAGTGAAATTAGTAACTCAATCTGAACTTCCATATAATTTTTTTTTTTCTTTTTATACACAAACACATTAAAAATGTAATTTTAATTTAAGTACATTTGTATCACCTGTTTAAATAAATTATTAGCTCTATCCACAATTGTTTTGGGCAGATTTATTCGGTCAGCCATTGTGTTTATTTCTCGGAATGCATTAATAAGTGCTCTGTCATTACTACTGATATTTCGTCTGTTTTGGTATTTAGATACTCCAAAACTGTCAAATGAAGCATCTCCGCGACCTGGTCCTATGATAGTAGAGAGATCGCCACCGGAAAGCAAGGGGTTCTCTGGTCCACCAACACGGGATGGATCCACACCTGACTTTTCGTTGCTAAAGGTTCGCCATTCTGATCCCACATCTATAACCCTGGAAATATTTAACAAATCTTTTATTTATAAGTTTTACATTATTAAAATATGAGACATAGATAGTGTTAAAGTTTTTAGTTCAAGGGAATACAATTGGAAACAATTTGCAGTCAAAAATGAAAAAGTTTTTTTATACACTTAAAAAATGCATTTACAAGCAGAACTAGTTGTTATGAAATATCAATATACAAATAGTACAACATAATTACCTGTCTCCCACTACAAGACCACATTCTGAACATATCATGTCACCAGCCCTGTAATCCTCAATAAGGGGTGCATCTGGGTGAGCATAGCACACCACTTTGTTAGTCTCCATTCTAAACATACAAAAGAAAGTAATACATCAGATATGCAGTACTCAATTATGAACTATATTTTTAACAGTTTAAAGCCAACATTGTAGTTACAAACTGATTACTCAGTTTATTACTATATTAAGATATAGTTTGTTTACTTACTTAAAAGGACACTTACTGAATCCCGAAATATATAAGAACAAAAATAAATATTAAAAACAAACCTCGACGTGCTCGCCATGATTGATTGTCAATTCTGAATGTCATAGACAATAGAGACAAACGTTGAGCCGAACACCAAAGAGTATATAAAATATGAGCACCGAGCACTATGACCTACCACAGAGTAAAATATAACCACAAGCCATAAACTAGGTTTCATACCTTATGGGTTTAGCAAGTTTTATCTTTACCGATTTCGATTTTAAATAAAGTGACTTTTTTAATTGTGTGTGCATATATCTAAAATTACGTTACTTTTTAGCTTAAGTTTACACCAAATATTTCCTACTGAGCTAAAATTTTTTTGTTTCTTCTCGCCTCAAGAACCTCAGTAAATTCCTAATAGGATGATGGGTTAAATACAATATGGACTTGCCCTAAACATAATGATAAAACAAACACAAGCTGTAATAGAAAACTTTACTTAGTTTCAGGCGCCGAAAAAACTAAGCTGACACGATACATCAGTTGAAATAAAAATTTTATACTTTTAACCATGTTTCATGACCTCTAAAAACTGTAGGGTTTAATGTAATTGAGCGTACCTAACCTCGTATTGTGTAAAGTGTATAGTGTGAAGGCTCGACTTGTCACCTTGGTAGCTTCGAATGCTGTAATTAATGAAACAGATGGTGTAATTAGGAGCGTGTATCGCAACAAACATTCACCAATGAGCCAACAATCGAACAATTATGGCTCAACTTGAACGCGCGGCAGAGACATTGACGGGCTCGTGCGCTCAGCATCTCGCATCTCGGCCAATGGGTCAATGCTTGGTATTACTGCGCCTGCGCAGGCGCTCAGATTACCTTACCGCAACCGTGTATTAGATTACTCATTACTTTTTTTAATTCTAAAACTAACTATTAAGATTTCTATGTTACAATACGACACTATTCTGCGATTATTTATTTCACTTTTTAGTCAATACTCATTTGATGAGGCAAATAGAAGCGCCTGATTAGATTTTACATTACATGATTTCGAATCCTACCTTATTTACAGATTAATATGCAATGCAGATTACAGTTAAAAAAAATACAGGTGGTTTAACACCTTGAGGTCAGAATAAGCAGTCTAATTGACACTAGATAGCTCTATGGACCGAAATTTTAAAGATAGATCGACTGTGTATAATGTATTTATTTTTGTAACAGCGAAGTAAGTAGTTTGTTATCGGCGGCACGGATGTTTGTAGGTAATTAATATTCATATCACTTATCAGTTGAGTAAAATAACATTATGTTAACAGTACGTTTGGAGGTATAGAACCGAGGACATTTACATGAGTTACATTACACGTGTACTTTATAGTTGTAAATAAATTGCGTTGAAGACAATGTTCAAATTAAATGAAATTTAGAAGCGTTACTTAAAATGGTTTAATATTTACATAAGGGAAAATGACAGCCATTGGGTCTCACGTCTATTATAACTCTCTCCACATGCGAAGCGGGCTTCTTCGGAGCCCTTTTACTGTTGCACTTGGATTTACAAGCAAAACTACCAGATTTTATTGATTTCAATTTGATGAGTTACATTCTTCCTCTACCGTTAAAAGCGTATAGTAATATATAGTAACATTATTTAATAAATATTGGTATATTGAAATGTAACGGAATGACGTCACTTAATAAGAAACCCGTCAAGGAAACCTTGCTACGAAAGGCATGCTGTAAGAACAGCAATACATCCAAGACGTGTTGAAATAACTCTTGCTGCGCCTGCGCCTGCAATAGGTTATTTTATTGCAATGCAACTGTCATTATTTAGTTTGATACACGATTTAGAAATTAAGATCAGATTCGTAAAAATAATAAATGAAATATCTTTATTCTTTTTCCCCTATGGGCATGGCAAAAATAACAATCATGAATTATGACCAAAACATCTCTTAAATTATGTTTAAACGTAGTAATGGTAGACAATTTCTTGCAAATATTAATCATTAATTGAGGCATTGACTATGAAAAAATCTAATAATTTAATAGGATAATTTAAAAATACATAGTAATATTCCTTTTTCTTCCAATATTTTTTTTCGTTCCTAACTCCAAAACTGTACCAATCTCCAAATAATTATTCTTTAAAAAGAAACTTGATATGGAGGTGAGGTCTCAAAATGTCCAGTCTATATGGTCATGCAATGTTTGTATGCTTTACGCCAGGTCTATGTGCAGTGTAGTGGTTGCCCTTGGAGTAAACAGGTCAGCTTTTAACGTAGACAGGTTAAGACAAATCAGACTACAGCCGTTGCGCTGGTCAGTTATTTTAAAGGTTCTATAAGAATTGGCAAAGTTTAACACTTGAAAAAAATATGAAGTAAAAATTGTATATTAATTAGAAAATAACTTAACATTAATTTATGCGATCAATACCTATAAAATATTACTATCTCTTTTTTGTTAAAGATAATGACAGGGATGACGATATTTTTAAGATAAAGATTTTAGTCTCGGAAACCCACTGTTAAATAAAAAAAAGTGAAGTGGAAGCGCAGTACCTTAATTGTGGTGATTTTTTGAATAACTAAATGATTTCATATTGAAATTATGTATTACTCAACTTGTCACGAATCTTCAAGCAACAAACTCACGGCATTTTTTTCATCTAAAAGTTAATAGTAATTCTAACTATGACATCATAAGTATACGTAACGTTAAATCATTTGCCAATACAACATATGGCTATTAAAATTATAGAATCTATGTGATAGGTCCGTCATTAATATTTTCATGGAAATGTTTTCCTTGCATAGAATAAAGCAATACGTCTCAGTTGTAAAGAAAATAATTAATTGCGTTAATACATGTCATAATCGTAGTAAACGTGAACAGAGTAACTTGAGAAATACAAAAAGGTCATGGCAGGTCATTTTGAATTCAGTTTATAAAGATGTCCGCACACTAGAGTGCAACAATAATTAATAATGTAATCAAAGACAAATATGTTATTTAAAATATAACACATATAAAATATCGTTGATATATCGTAACAATTTTTTTCTGTACGTTGATTTTGGAAATAACTGGCTTTAATAAAATAACATGACGTAACTTCCGACATCTTCTATATGTGACTATAACCTGATTGTTCGTTGTTTGAACATTTTAATTCATTTATGTTCATACCTAGTTGGTATGTAACCTTACGGTGATTGGTTTGTGAGTAAATACATAGATACAGTGTTCGCGGAAGCGTCACGTAGCATTTGAACCATTTGCATATTGAATCGGTATTAGGCGATGATAAGAGGTGATTCATTGCGACGGTTGTACTGTACAGGTAACGGATATCAACCCGGAAGTCGTATTGCAACTTTAAATAAACAAAAAAATACATTAAAAAAGTCTGAATTGAATCTCTTAATTTTAAATGCAGTAATCTATATACAAAAAAATCAATTGCTGTTCGTTAGTCTCGCTAAAACTCGAGAACGGCTGAACGGATTTATCTTATCTTGGTCTTGAAATGTTCGTGGTGGTCTAGGGAAGGTTAAAAGGTGAGAAAAATTCGAATAATTGTCGGGAACTAATGATTTTCTCTTTTCATTCCTCGCAGACGGAGTCGAGGGCGACAGGTAGTTAAGAATAATTCTACTAATTATGAAAATTTATGGCTGCTTCTTTGATATGATGAAAAGTATTTTTGTGCGAATTAAAAAATTGTGAATTTGAGATTAAATTACTTTATTTATCTTACTCGCACATGTGGAAAAACCTAATTCCCATTCCCGTGTTTTTGACGTAAGTATGTCTTATGTTTACGTATTTGTATGTTTGGAAATTTCACTGTGATCTTTATCGTAGTTTTGTCTGTGGCTAAACGATTTTGATGTTTTTTTTTCCGTGATAGGGGAAAAACACGAATCGTTTGAAGTCGGGATTTTCGGTTTTTAATTAACAAATTGTAATTTGATTGCTTAACTAACATATGTTTTATTATCCGTTGATTTCTGAAACCAAAATCTGTGTATAAAACATATAGCTATCACTATCATTATCTCTGCTGAAAACAGAGATAACAATATGTTTTAAACGTAGATATTGGTTTAAGAAACCCACGGTAAGTCAGTTTGTTTATGATTCATAAATTATTGTGCAAACGTGATCATATCTCAATGACTTGCATATATAATAATGATGTGATAAAAAGAAAGTACCTACATTATGTTATTATAAAATTTAATAAGATGATGCCTTCTTTATTTTAGCTTTAAGTATTAGATGTGGAAAAAACGTATGTCACGTTATTAAATTTATTTACATTTTGTTGTTTTTGATTACACGAAGTGAAAGTTCTGCTTTTTATAATAGAAACTGTACGAGTAAACATAGACTTATAGTGGTAAAACGCAAGTACAAACACATGTTTATTCAAAAATAATATAAGTATTTTGTCGGTGAAAACAAAAGGTAATAATCTCTTCTGTGGGCCTAGCACAAATATTTCCGACAAGCAGCTTCGTCGTCATCAATTTCGTATAAATTTGTATGAGATTTTTTGACAATAGGTGGCGATTGTCATCGACAGTCACCATTACTATTCTTTCCTTTTAAGAAAGAGGTTGGGAAAGGGAAGAGAAGCATAATTAGGTCTCCGGGACGCACACTCATCAGAAGAAACACGGAATTGCTTCCACTTCACGCCTGTCTTCTGTGTGATCGTGGTATTTCACCAGGCGAGCCGGGCCAATTCGTGCAAAGATGTTAAAGCGGGCTCTACCACTGTTAATAATATTCGTGCTAGGCCCACTAGTATACTCTTTTGTCATAAATTGACAACTTTGTATAATTGTGCCAATTTATACATCATCGTTTTAAATCATGATAGGTACCTCCCCGGTTAAACTGGCTTATTCATGCAACAATGGTGTTGCTGTATGGTTCTTTACATGATTGTAAATGATACACCTGCAAATATAAAAAAACAATTGCGCAATATTATACATTTATAATTGCGTCGCATTTTTTCTCACATTCCTGGTACTACACAGCGACATATTAATTTAACTAATTCTAACACTAATTTTCACTGCCAATACATGTACAAAAATATCGTTATATATGTTTTTTTAAATGAATTAGTATT